GTAAATAAAAATTTTGACTTTTTAATGGTTGGATCTGCAAAATTTTTACCAAGAAAAACATTTCTCTTTGGTGCCCCACCCCTCCACCCCGCCATAAATAATGACCGGTTCCTAATAACTTGTCTTTGCAGTCTGATACTAATAGTCTTATTATAGTTATTCATATTATCAGTGGTGATGTGCTTAAGTATCCATTAATTCCACCAACCTTAGGAACGTATGGCAAACAAGATCGACCAAGCAGAAGGAACAATTATGGCAGAACTTGAAGGCATGGAGTCCAAACGCTATGAAGCTGCTCACGAATATGCAGGCAAACTAGATGATAGGTAGTAAAATATTTTGTCATTAGAATGAGTTGCTACACGGTGCAACCTGTCTCGCGGGTTCAGTGTGCTATTAAATCATCCTTACTTGCAGTTGAGAGTTAAGCTGAATGGATATGATTCCAGCTTTTGACTAAATTTTGATCTAGGCAAGAAGAACAAATTCCATCACCACAGCTAGAAAGAGCATGTTAAAATTAGTAAAATTGCAAAGTTTGGTTGCGAAATGTTGTAAAATGAGGAAAATATAGCCCTACGAAATTTGCAAATTTTGTATTAATTTGTAATACGCACGGGAAGTTGCACCACTTTCGGCCCAAATGCGGTGCATTTTCCCGCGCGTAATACAAATTAATACAAAATTTGCAAATTTCGCAGGGCTACATTTTCTGCATTTTACAACATTTCGCAACCAAACTTTACAATTTTACTAATCTTAACATGCTCTTTCTAGCTGTGGTGATGGGTTTTGTTCTTCTTGCCTAGATCAAAATAGTTCAGTGACTGTACCTCTCTTTTGTGGTATCTGTGGAGCAGGTTTCTGTTGAACTATAAATATAAGTTTAGTTTGAGTTTATTGAGTTTTCTCACTCATTGGTGAGCGGATTTCCCAACAGGCTATTGCTCAATTGATAAGAGATCCGAGGTACCTAACCATTTACTGATGTCAAAGTAAAGGTAGCACTTTCTCCTCAATTATTTTAAGACCTCGAGTAGAGGTCCGACCAAGGCAAGCGTCGTGAACATGTGAGTAACAAAAATTCAAAACGAGTGAGTCATAAAGAGATAGTGTACATTTCTGGGGGGATTTCTCGTAATGATTACACTCTTCTTTATTTCATCAAAATTATATGTTAATTACTATTTCAAATGTGTAAAACTACAGTTGATGTGCACACAGTTATTTGTGGTTGGTTAAGAAAATTCAAATAATTGTTAACTTTATTGTAATGTTAATTTCTGTCGTTCGATATCCTGTGGCTCAGACAGGAAACATCGATCCGCAAATTTCCTTTTGGAAAATTTGAGGAAATTTTAGTTTTAAAAAGTGGAAACACTGCTTGCAAAAACCAAAATGGCGGTCGTTTCCTAGCGAATTTCGTAAATTTTCTGAAGAAATTGTAGCCATATTCTTAATTTCACACATCTTTTTAGTACAAAATTGCAATAATAGTCAGCAAAATACTCTATATCTTTCATTATAGTAAAATACATTCGAAGTGATTGTGAACATCAACCTGTTTTTTCGAAACGTCATTCGCAAAATGGATGATTTTGCGTTCGCAAAAAGCGAATTTACATTCGCAAATTGCGAATAGCGAGTCGCTAAATCGAACCCTGATTACAGTATTAAAGCTACCCAAATCCAAGCGCTGTATACACAGTATAATAGTTAATACACAAGAAATTACCCGAAGAATGAGATTTTGAAGGTCTTTGTTGGTTGGACGAATGCGACGATCGTTTTTGCTCTGTTTTATGTACACCTTCCTGCAAGAAAGCCCCTCAACTGAGTTATTTTGTCATGGGAATATGATTATCACACATAACATCGTATAATGCATATACGGTAAACCGTTGGTTATACCTCTTGGGTACGGAGATCTTACCTTTACGCGATCCAAACTCAAGCCATGATATGTTCCCATTGTATCGATGTTAAATCCTTCCGTTTCTATAATGTGAGAATACTTTGAATTAACCCGCTGATTGCCAACACTCTGCCCCTGACAAGTAAAATCATGAATAGTATCATTCTGAAAGGTCTCTTACACTTCCTTTGTTGGCATCTGTGGAAGAAGAAATCGTCTGACATACAGGCTAAATTCTTACCTTCTTTTCGATTGAATCTTTCCTGATCATATCTGTTGTATGACACAGGCATTGCCGCTTTCTTCTTGGGCACCTCCTGGATGATATTAAAGTTGAGAAAATTTAGCCAACCAATGAAAGATAAATCACATTACGGATAAATCAAATAAGAATACAGTGCTCAGATAAGAAAGACGTACTGCAACAGGGGCTGGTTTTTGTGGTTGTTTTGCTGCCGAGCCATCTTCGTGAGCCTTCACCGATTGAAGGATTGCTAAGATGTTCTTCAGGAAATACTAAAAACAAACAACAACTGTAAAAAAAAGACTTAATCAACTCTCATGCCACTCTTGTTCTTATTTGTCCAGGGCTTGAGAGAAAATGGTAATACTATAACCCATTCCATACTTTGCCAGAACTTTGCAAGACACTTGATCTGGTGCGAAGCAGTCTTTCACGACTAACAATGTCTCGTGTAACGTCCACTTCAGCATCAACGAACACACGTCTTTCCTAATGGAGAAAAACAAATATAAAACAATAGTTTAATTTTTAAGTAGAAATTTCACTCTGAAGTTTTACTCTGATCGTTGTTCTTTTTTTGGAGGGGAGCACTTTTATTTTTGGGGCGTATAGGGGGCCCCTCTCTTTCCGCCGCCTATGAAATCGAAGAGTTGGAATGTCTAGAAATGAGAAAAATCTGCGAGTCACTTGACTTACGAGAACACCAGCATCGAGTTCATCGTCAACTTTAATCGTTGTTCGTTTCTTCGCCAAACGCTTTGCCTTGATAGCTGCAATCTTTTCTGCAGACATAGTGTCACTCAAAGAACTAAATAACGCATTTTAAAAATACGAAAATACATTTCATATAACACGACATGTTTCAAAATAAGGTACAGGTATATGTTAAACTTTTATACCGAATCTGTTCTGTGGTCACGGTTCCCTCCTTGTGGCCTTCGAGACGAGCTTCCAGTCTTTCCTATATTACAAATACATTACTGGTGAGTTACTCGACATGACAGTCGAACAGAGATTTGTAGAAAGCTATAAGTAGATTATTATGTCTGTCTGTGATCCGATTGTTGTCCAACACATTACCTTATCTCGCCTGACTTGTTCTTCCTAAAAAGATCATAAAATAGCTAATCAATCATGTTTAGCCCATAATGAGTTACATTGCGCCCTGATGCGCCATACTTTATTATTTTACTCTGTCTAACGCCAGATTATTTTACTCTGTCTAATGCCAGACGATTTTACTCATCAAGGGGACAGTGCTGGCACTTAATGAGTTAAAATTTTGAAAGTGTTCAAATTTTGTGCCCTACTTTGCAATCACACTCAGTTTGATTAATATTGTCTAGCATTAGACACTCTATCTACAAGTCTATTGGCTAATCAGTCCATGAGTCTTGCTAACAAATAATTAGGCTGCAAGTAAGTAAGTAATTTTTAGAGTGGTAACCAAATAAGTTTAATAATTCAAGTCAGTTCACCTCAACTTTAGGTCTTTTGAATTCTCCTGATGCCCCATCCTCGCCTGGTCTTTTTACTGTTCAAAAAACATCAACGAAAGACGTCAGGAAACAGTCTTACTCATGTTTAATGTTTTAAAATATTTTACTAACAATTCTGATGTCTTGCCGACGGTCTTTGTGTGGGTAGCTCAAGGGGAACACTTTTGTCGATGCTTGTTGATGTTTCTATAAAATAATTTAATTGTTTAGCAAAATGGAAACCATACTTCAAGATTATTTTTTGATAAAAGTTTTAATTTTACCTGTTTCACCATTCAAATAGCTGAGAAGGGCCTAAAGTATTGTGGAAATGAAATTGGTGGGTTTTTGTTAAGTGAGATAAAGTATACAATAAGATAAACTGAAGTATCATTGATAATAACCTTTTTATCTGGCAATCTAACAACAGGAATTTTTGAAGCCTAAAAAAATAAAAATTACCATACTAGATGAACGCAAGTTTAATTTGATATTCATTCTGACACTGCAGAACACAACAAAAAAATTGTTGTCCTGAGTGGGATTTGAACTCACATCGTTGGTTTCTGGACTGCTGCTCGACCCATTGAGCTATTAAATCAACAGGGATTGGCAGCAAGTCTTGCCCAATTTAAGTGTACAATATATTTTCACAATGAGTTAACATTTGTCTCGGACAACGCACAGTGTTTTGAGGCAATTAATTTTTCTTTGTACTCTGCATATGAAACTAGTTTTTTTATGTCTAAGGATGGTTTCAAAATTGAATGTAAGTTTACTGTATATCTAGGCTTCTTTCAATGGGTGAATGTTTGGACTTACTGCAGCTCGTTGAACGTAGATGGCATGAGACAAATGCACATTTTTCAACAAGAACAACATGGACTCCAATGTATAATACTCTTTTGGTTGAGTTCTACAAACAAATAAACATTGTGAGGTGTCAGTGACACAGTGGTTGGTGTATGCATCTTTCAGTTCCTCTAGAGAACCAGGGTTCAATTCCTGCAAAATGCACTTGTCTGTTTATAATTTTGTCTTGTGTGTATGTGAGTGTTTCCGGTTTGATTTATGTAAGTAGTCTGGTTTCTTCTTGTATTACCACTAAGGCCATGTAAAAAAATATCCCAGTTTATCATCAGCGCCCGCATCCATTTTTCGTGCTGCATGGATTTATTATTTTTTAAAAATCACTACTTCCAGCGGCCCGTGCAAGGAACCCACACGAGATTTTCACGATGGTCAGCCATTTTGAAAACACAAGTTCATATTGACAATGTGTATGATATTGCGCTTGGGCCTTGGCAATTTGTGGCAATTGTAATATTAAGGAAAAGTGTAATAGCATTGAAAATATTATACCATACAACTGTGCTGCGTGTTTGAGCATATTTTTTCCGTGCACCTACTAAATATGATCTGGTAAAAATAAAAAAAATCTGCCCACCCACACAGTTTTTCTGCTGCCACTGATGATAAAAAAAAAAACAATACCAGCCGACAATTTCAAAAAATATAATACAAAACATAATCCGAAGATAAGCATCTTGGGTTTCAAGATGCTTATCTTCGGATTATGTTTTGTATTATACTGATGATAAACAGGGATATTTTATGGCCTAAACCATGTGTATGCACTTCTAGAACGAACACAGACTGCTAAAGGTCTATTTACACGATACAACTAGTTGTATGATGCAACTATTCCTGTTCATCAGTCTATGGCAAAATTTGAAAATTATGTGACATCTTCACACACATTTTTTCGAGTACATACACCAGGATAAGAATTGTATATGACTAGTCAGACTAGTCATATCATGTAGATGGGCCTGAAGTTTGCCATATGCTCTGAAGATCTTCTGCACACAATTTTGCAGTTAGCAAACCAAGCAGCCCAGGGAAGAACAGTTTCAGATTCATTGAATTATCCAGTATAAAATCCTTTACCAGATGGCATTATTATTCAGAGTGGTTTTTATGCCAGTATAAATAAAGTCAGTTTAGTTTAGGTTTCCTCCTGTAGTAACTGATCCAAGAGGCAATGGTCCTTGCTGGACCTTTATGGAAAGCAGCTTAGAACTGAGCTATCCAGTATAAATAAATATGTTTGCTATCCCCTTGTTTTGCATGGGTAGACAACAACTTCAGTAAATATTTAAATTTCACGCTGCAATTATTTATACTCTAATTACAAACAAAATCACTATCACATTTAATTCTCCTTGCAAGAAACACACTATACATGCAAAGCAAGATATCTTAAAATCATGCTATCACACATATTTAACTCAGAGATCGCAAAAAAATCAGTGTAAACAATCCCAAAATGCTGGCTAATTATAAATTCACAATCCTCGTACCAGTACAAAAAAACCATCGATCTACCTGTATATAATATAGTTAGTCCTGGCAGTCTTGAGAAATGCAAACTCGTCAAAGCTGATGTAATCATCCTTCTCCAATATCTCTTTTCGTTGAACATTGTATTGTCGCAACAACGACAATGGATCCGCCATGTTTCACGACTAGTTTTGGGAAATACCGCGACGAGGAAGAATGCCTGGGAACTAGTTCATTTATAGCAGTAAAATTTTATTAATTTTATTCGATTCTTTGTTTCATATGCTTTAATTTACTGGGGTTTTTTACCCTTTTGAACGTTTCTGACTTATTTTGGTTATTTAAATTGTTTTATTGGGTTGGCCAACAAATATATCACTGCTTTTAGTCTCATTTGTTAATTATTAACTAGTAATATTCGGTGATTTCTGCTGGTGTTTTATCATCATATGGTCACAGATATGTCAGATATGGTACCACCGTACCACATAATTTAGAAACTTGACAAAATATAGTTCAATTCCATTAGACGAATGAATATGGATGTAATTTCAAAGAAGGAGCGAAGGAATTTAACCAGTGAAAGAAAACGTAAACTTGAACCAACTACATTGGAAAAGAAAAAAGTTTGTGTGGAGAATTACTCATGGTGGACAAACATGATGCTGGACATGATGCAAGGGGAACATTCCCAGGTTTCTGCCGTAACTACCAGGAAATTGCAGTGGGATAAATAACAAATCTTTGCAGTGGGATAAACAATGGATGTTTGCAATGAGTTACCTTGTGTATAGTTCACTACACAGAATATGGATCTTTATAGCCTGCGTGCAGGCCCAAGGGAACTTGATAGTGGGCCTGCAACCATCACCCCATGTTTTCGATTTTCGCCGGCCGAACCGCCGGCTAAATTCCCATTGGCTAGCTGAGGCGATCGGTAATTAATTAACCTAGCCCATTGTGCAGGCACAAGGGAACAGTGATTCATCACAAAGGCATAGACAAAGGCTCTCGATAAGCTTAAAATTTGAAAATTGATCACTTTTTTCGATTACAAATGGAACAAGAGCAGACTGTTTATTGTTTACTTGAAGGAAGACATGTTTTTGCCGTTATGCCAATGGGGATTGCTTGTCGTGAGGTGTTGGAATAGCAACATTACGACTGGGGTAAACTATAGTAACCTTTACTTGAGTTTCATTAATTTCAAACAGACTTCAGTTGATACGTTATGTGTTCTCGCTTCCTCAAGAAAATTATCTTTTGGTTGATGTTGAGATGCAGTTGCATGTAATGCATGAGTCAATTCCAGGAGTAACCATCCCCCCCCCCGGGAACACACCCGGACATTTGATTAGATTGGTTATGATAGTGCAAATGCCCAGGTGCCGGGACACAACTTGAAGACTAATGCACGGCCCCTGGGCAAGCTGAGAGTGAAAAATGCCCCACCCCGGGGACGATTTTACAGTCAATTTCACGAAAACTTTGATCACAAATGTTCCGAACTTCGTTGCGAAGTTCGGAAGCTCATATTGGAATTCACAAGCCAATTTGTAAACAAAGTCCCTGATTGGTCCGTGAAGTAAAAGAAGCCAATCAAATGCGTAGTTTACGAACTGGTTTGTGAATCTCATTATGAACTTTTGAACTTCGCAACAATCTTGTGAACTTCGCAACGAAGTTCGGAAAATTTGTGGTCAAAGTTTCGTGAAATCGACTGTAAACGTTAATTAAACTTTTAATGGCATATAATCATAGTCATTTAATTACATAGTATTAAACTGCTATGGAATATTATAAAACATAAACCTTTAATAGTTGTATTTAAATTTGCATGGCACAGGGTATAATTTTCGCTTATTCTTACAATATTAAAGTTTCACGCCACCTTGACCACGAGGGCGCAAAATACGATCAGCGCGCCCACATGCGTGCCTGAAACTAGGTTTTGCTGCCTTAAAATTTGTGGGTGGGATTTTGGTCAACCATTTGTCAAATCCCCGGGGTCCTCCAATACCCGGCCCCCGTGCACATATATGAAAGGCAAATTCCCGACCCCTGTGAACCGTCTATCGGGCAAATTCCCGGGGGTGTCCCGGGGGGGGATGGTTACTCCAGGAATTGACTCATGCATAAGAACTGTAAGCCTATTCGAAACACTTTGCGATTTACAAGGCTTCGCAGAGAGAGCGAAACAGAAGGCAGTATTAAATTGCCGTTTGAAACGAAACGATCTGGACTCGGAACGCTCTCTTCTTTTGTAGAGTTCTTTACCAAATGAAATAAATTTCGTACTTTCCGCCGCCAACAAGAATTGCACACACGATCTGATAAGTGAGACAATTTATTTATAACAATGGGCTATTCCATTTAATATCCGTACCCCCCCTGTCGAGGATACATGTTTTTCATAGTTATACCCCTGAAGAATTCCAAGCTCAAAATCCTTTACCCCTGAAGAATTCCAAGCTCAAAACACTCTACCCCTGAAGAATTCCAAACTCAAAACACTTTACCCCTGAAGAATTCCAAACTCTGAAAAATTTCGATCTCAAACCTCTTTACCCCTGAAGAATTCCAAGCTCAAAACACTCTACCCCTGAAGAATTCCAAATTCAAAACACCCTACCCCTGAAGAATTCCAAGCTCAAAACAATCTACCCCTGAAGAATTCCAAACTCAAAACACCCTACCCCTGAAGAATTCCAAGCTCAAAACACCCTACCCCTGAAGAATTCCAGGTATCCTCGACAGGGGGGGTACGGATATTAAATGGAATAGCCCAATGCCAATGGCGACAGCGAAGCACACATAATATAAATCCTAATGTGGTCGCACGACTTCCCTCATGATTTGAAGTTTGAGACTGGTTTTCTGTTGAAATTCGTCCTAATTTGCCTGTTCCGATTTTAGTTGAAAATGAGCACTTGCAAATTTGGCAATTACTGACTGCGTTGCTTGCTTTTTTGGAGTTAAAACGCAGCCATTTTAATACACATTGTTTATTAGTGTTCTGAATAAGCAGAGAAAACCCCGCAACATTTTAATGCGAGTTTGTTTGTTAATATTTGGGTGCTGTCATTGGTTCTTTTTTGACAATTGACGCGCGAATGGGGCGTGTTATGAAAAGGGGCGTATTTCAAAATACCGGGCGATGGTTGCAGGCCCACTATCAAGTTCCCTTGGGCCTGCACGCAGGCTAGGATCTTTATTCTGTGGTTGACTAGTTTCAGAGGAGACTGTCAATAACTGATTGAATATTTTCAAGACATGAGTATTGCAATTAGAGATCTGGCAAAATATGAGTCACTGCCGTTGACCTATTTGATTGAACATGGGGAGACTTTCCATATATTGGTATCCCAAAGTGATGTCACAATAATTGGTTTTAGAATAGGTTAGGATAAGTATTTTTTAATAGATTAGGGTTTTAGATTATGAGGGTTTTAGATTAGGATTAGAATGACGATTAACCCAAAAGGGGTGGATTAAAAATATTAAAAAGTATAAAAAGAACATTAAAAAAAAAATAATCAATTAAATAAAAAAGTTAATAATTAAAAAATGAATATGCAATATTCGCGGAATTGTAGTGCGGTCGATTTCAAATGCCATGCGCTATGGCGGGTAACTCAAACAATAACAAACCAATGTCACAAATATGGCAGTGTGTTCCGGTGGTCAAATCGTAATTTAACCGTGATTTACCAGCGATTTTCTCAATAAAACACACACAAAATGTTCGCAAAACTAAAACAAAAGATAGCTGAAGAGGACCACTCCGACCTGGGCTCATCTTTGCCTTCAAGTCCAACTTCTAGTAGAAAATTTCGCCCGGTTTCTAAAGAGAACAAGTGGCATAGACGACGAATGAATAGTGTCAGTAGCTATTATGGCTCGAGAGAATCTGTTTTTACCGAGCCTGGTTTTATATCGAGGGATCCTTCCTTCACAAGTAACAAGGCGGCGAATGGCGTTTGTAATAATTCGGGCGCTTTATATGGCATTGTAAGTTTTAATGTGCTTTTTAACGCAAAGTTTTGTAATTTAAAACTTTTCATTAAATGGCCATTTAAATCACCGACATTTAAATATTTAATGAACCTGTCTTTTATAGAATTACAGTTGTAATTCTTTTATAAAAGAATTCGTTTTATTTTTGGCCTGTGATGGTTTAATTTATGAGTTAAAGTTCTCCAGGATAGATGAAACTTGTTTATTAAATGGCGAGGCATTTCAATTTGTAATGAAAGTTGTCAACTTAAATTGATCCTATTTTTTAATTAAAACGGCTTTTTAAAGCAATGAATATATACACTATGTAAAGCAAATCTGTAAATTGGTCTAGAAAGACAGTGAAAAAAACCCGTGTCTTTTAGCTTATAGGCCTGGCCTATACTTAATTTCCTAGGACAATAATAAATATACAGTTTTGTAACTTTACTATAAATATAGCATGCTGTACTTGTTCCATCTGACTGAACAAATTAGCAAGAACTGCTGTTTTGTCTCAAAGAGCAGCCAAGCGGAATAGAGTTCATTCTCTGCTTGAATGGGTTTTTAATTCTAGAGAGAATAATGTTTCACACAGTGGCGTAGCCAGCCAGACTATTTGCTCCTGCTATGCAAATATGTCTGTGTTCATAGACTGTAAAAACAATGAATTTCTAAAGAAATGAATAATGATAATGCTTTGAAATTTACATAGCAGGAGTAAATGTTCAGGCTGGCTACGCTACTGGTTTCACAACATCTTCTGAAGCGTATTTGGACTTGCACAATTTATTGAAGAATATCAGTGAGCAGGAAGAATATCAGTGAGCTCGGAAGAAAACTTTGACCCCAAAGCTTAGGATCTCAGAATTTGTAGCCTGGAGACAGACAGTTAAACAGCCAGAAAAAATTTTAGTTTACCACCACCCCCCCCCGCCCGCCAGAATCACAGTGAAAATTTTAAAAATGTTGAGAAAAAAACTTTCCGTATAGTCCTACAGAGTCAAAATAAATTTAAATAATTTATACTATGAATGGAGGCGAGAGGTTTAGAAAGAAAATTTAAAAAATACTTTTTCCTGTTACGTCCACCGGCAAGCACTTTGGACAAATGTTTCCTGGTTTTCCCACCCTTTGATTATAAACATGGTTTCTGCAACAATGTTACTGTACTTTGCCCTTGGTTTTATATTAATCAGGTCCTCTGTAAATTCTAAAATTATTTTTTTTCTAGTCTAATCACAACAAACCAAGAAAAGATCTAATGTCAGTCCTTCGTGAGAAAATGCAAGAAATTGATAAACTCAGGAATAAATTATCAGGTACAGGCATAAGTGTACAAGTTTTAAAGTTGGGCAGATTTTAAATGTAAGTTGGGCGAAAAGATGGGGGAAATAAATTGAAAAGCAAGAAATATATAAGATAGGCAAACAATTTTAACCCTCTGGAAATTTAATCAACCCAACTGGTCAGTGCCACCAGTCATTCTGCACTCTACCCTTGAAGAGGAAAAGCATAAATCTGGCATAAGGCAGGTAAAATAATAGATTAGGGTGCAATGCAACTTAATGGCTTAGGGTAGAACACACCTTATTTTGCAAATTTCTACCCAGAATATGAAGAAGAGATTGAGAGATGGAAAGGACTTTATGAAGAACAGTCTATTAAAGAACAAGAATCAACAAAAAATGTTAACAAATATCAGGTATGGTACAATAATTGAAACATTTGTAACACAGTTGCCTGTTTAGGAATCTAGCAAAAAGTGGTTGCCCTTTATTAATTGCCACGGTAAAGTGGGCACCTCTAGAAAATTACAACTGATGGAAAATCAATCATCATGCAGGCAATTATGTGTTTGAACACTGCTTGAAATTAGGAGATACACGAATAAAAATATAATTTATTATTTTAACTTTTCTTTAATTTATAGATATCTCACACTCAAATTGATGCCAAACAAAAGGCCCTGGACATCTTAGAAAAGGGATCAGTAAGTATTAGCTATCTAGTTTTCCATATATGCTGTTATGCGCTGTATATCTCTATCCATTTAAGACTTGTACTGTACATATAGCCATATAGGTAAACAAACCTGTTGCCCATGTTGACCTATGTAAAATTTTGTTTTGACTTAGAAAATCAAAGTTTGTGTAAATCAGGACGGCCCGGAATATTACTATCCGATTTGCACTAATATTGAGAATTTTGTCATGAATTATTGATATTATATTTTAATACCAAATAAAAGTTTTAAACACTAAACACTAAAACATTACTTTAATATTTAAAGTTGTCAAATTAAGCTCCATTAATAAACGTGATTTAAATTTTAAACATTTTCAACTATAACAGCAATTGGATGAACTTGACCAAGCTTATAAAGAGCAAAAAACACAACTTTCTTCTATGATGGAAAAACTTGATGAATTAACCAAACAGAGGTAGATTTTAACACAATGTATATATATACTAAATTAAAATGTCTTATAGTTTTTTTATTAATTCTTAATTAAATTCTAATTAAGTAATTAATTGCTCAATTAATTCAGCAACCTAAAGTAATCTAGAATCTAGAAAATAAAGAATCTAGAATCAATTTCTGGTTACTCGCCGAATATTAAAATTAAAAAAATAAGAATAAAAATAGAAGGCCTAGGTATAGGTTGATGATCACTAACTTTCTACAGGTGTCATTTTGAAGAGGAAGAACAGAAATTAAAACAACAAACCTCAAAATTGGAAACAGAAAATAAAACGTTGAAAGGTCAATTGAATGACATCATCACTGAAGTGACGCAGGTGAGAGGGTGAACACGCGTCACATTGTAATTTATAGAGTACACTGAACGCGAGGTTATAGTATGTGGCGATGAAGATACTTTGCTTGAATTACGGTCAGGGTCAGTTTTACTTTGTGTGTTAAGAAACCTCTGTCAAAGGAGGATGAAAGATGATGATTTCACTGTCCACTAGCTCTCATCAGTTGAGAAAACTAGCTTTCATGCAAACTCTCGCTTCTCAACTCTCGTCAGCTCTCGTCAACTCTCATGCAACTCTTGTTCTCGTTTGACCGGGGCATGGGAGTTGAGAAAACTCTCATGCACACTCTCACTTCTCAACTCTCATCAACTCTCATGAAACTCTTGTTCTCATTTGACTGGGGCATGAGAGTTGAGAAAACTTTAATGCAAACTCTTGCTTCCCAACTCTCATGCAACTCTTGTACTCGTTTGACCGGGACATGAGAGTTCTCATGCAAACTGTCACTTCTCAACTCTCATCAACTCTCATGCAACTCTTGTTCTCGTTTGACTGGGGCATGAGAGTTGAGAAAACTCTCATGCAAACTCTCACTTCTCAACTCTCATCAACTCTCATGCAACTCCTGTTCTCGTTTGACCGGGACATGAGAGTTGAGAAAACTCTCGTGCAAACTCTCACTTCTCAACTCTCATCAACTCTCATGCAACTCTTGTTCTCGTTTGACCGGGACATGAGAGTTGAGAAAACTCTTATGCAAACTCTCACTTCTCAACTCTCATCAACTCTCATGCAACTCTTGTTCTCGTTTGACCGGGACATGAGAGTTGAGAAAACTCTCATGCAAACTCTCACTTCTCAACTCTCATCAACTCTCATGCAAACTCTCACTTCTCAACTCTCATCAACTCTCATCAACTCTCATCAACTCTCATCAACTCTCATGCAACTCTTGTTCTCGTTTGACTGGGGCATGAGAGTTGAGGAAACTCTCATGCAAACTCTCGCTTCTCAACTCTCATCAACTTTCACGCAACTCTTGTTCCCGTTTTACCGAGGCACTGATGCGAGTAGAGAAAATTCTCGTGGAAACTCTCGCTTCTCAACTCTCATCAACTCTCACGCAACTCTTGTTCTTGTTTTACCGAGGCACTGATGCGAGTAGAGAAAACTCTCGTGCAAGCTCTCGCTTCTGAACTCTCGTCAACTCTAATTCTCGTTTGACCACGGCTTTGGAAAAATATTTGACGTCATTTTATCTCTTTAGAAATCTGTAGAGCTGAGTAAAGTTCAAAAATGTTTGGAGATAAGAGAGAAGGAAGTAAATGATTTACATGAATCGTACAATAATCTGAAGACGCAGGTAAATTTTATGATGTCATGCGTGTAGTCTGTAGAATGAATCCAGCATATTCACAGGTATATGGTTCTCTTTTATAGACCTCTGCTGATGTGTTAGAAAAAGACAACAAAATAAGAAATTTAGAAAGCAGGTATGTTTTGAAAATAGTCGGACTTTCTTTCTGAAATGTTAGTTTGTCCTGTTATGCAAAAGTGCCAAATAAATGTCTATCTGTTTTCGTTTTACATATAGGCTTGCCAAAGGCGACTCGTGTCCTTCTGATTTAGCGAATAGTGAGGATGACTGGATGAGCGATTGTCTAAAAGAAGGAAGAGACAAATCTTCCGAAATAAATGCCTTGGCAACTTTGGTAGGTTTTCTATAATCGAATCAAAAATTGTTTTCAACATGCAGTATAATAGTTCTATCGGTTTTAAACTATTGTTCTCAGTTGAGGCCCAGCAAGAACCCTTAATGATTCGATCAGTGTTACTCAAGGGTGGGTTGACTACCCAATGTTTGTAGTTCGCTATAACTACAGCTACTTCAAAAATATGTAGTCAGCTACAACTAATGCTACTTTTGAACAAAGGTAGTTCGCTACTGACTACAGCTACTGCTTAAAAAATGTAGCGAACTATTTCGCTACGCTATATTTTTTAGTTTTACTGTATTTGGAGCATCTACTAATTCAGGCTGAAATGTAATCTATAATAAATCGACTTACGAGTAGTAACAGTAAACACAAAGCAACATTTTTGTAAGCACTACAGTGATCAAAAGTGCAAATTGACTGTTGAGTGTTGATTTTAAGCATACCGTGTCTCAATGTCAGGCTATTCTATCAAGTTGTTCTATCTTTAAAAAGTAGCGAATAGCGATTTGCTATTTGAAAAGTAGTCGACTACTCGGCTACTTTTAGGCAAAATGTAGTTCGCTATAACTACAACTACTGTTTTAATAAAGTAGTCAAAAACTACTGGCTACTTGAAAATTGTAGTTCGCTACAGTAGCGAACTACAACTACTTCGCTACTACCCACCCTTGGTGTTACTACAGAGAAGGAAACACCCGTATCAGGAGAAGACATCCAAGTTCCCCCGAAATATATCATCATAAGTTCTAAATAAATGATTAACTGACAATCACACCTCAGCACTAATTAGACCTATGGTAGTTTGCTTAATGCTGTTTGAAAAATGGAGTCATTCGTGCTTTAAAGAATAACGGTGTGATTATCAGGTAATCATTTATTTAGAACTTATGATGATATATTTAGGGGGAACTCTCTGTTCGTCTGGTGTTTAAAAGGATTCTTTTATATGCTACTGAAATGGAACTGTAATCAGAAAACTGTATATTTTCTGAAATTCACAGCGCGGTCTTGGAATTAAGTTATTTTTTCTCTCTTTGTATCCAGGTTGGATCGCTGAATGAAAAACTTGAGAGAAAAGACAAGGAACTTACAAGCTGTAAACGTGTTGCTGAAGAAACTATTGACGAGCTTAAAATAAAGGTATTAATATGTATATTAAGTCTGGTTTGCTGGCCCGCCGAGAGGGGAGGGGGTAGTTTGCCTTCGGCAAGGTACGACGAAAACAGGCATAGTTTATAGCCCATACAAAAACAGGCGTACTTTATAGTCACAAACCGTAGGTATAAGGTATGTCGAGAACAGGCGTAGTTTATAGCCCATGAAACGCCAGAACTCCCTTTTCAAATGCCAGAACTCCCTTTTCAAATGCCAGAATTCCCTTTTCAAATGCCAGAACTCCCTTTTCAAATGCCAAAACTCCCTTTTCAAATGCCAGAACTCCCTTTTCAAATGCCAGAATTCCCTTTTCTAATGCCAAAACTCCCTTTTCTAATGCCAAAACTCCCTTTTCAGACGCCAGATCTCCCTTTTCAAATGCCGGAACTCCCTTTTCAAATTGCCAGAACTTAGTTTTCAAATGCCAGAACTCCCTTTTCAAATGGCAGAACTTGGTTTTGAAGCCCTGTTAAATCAGGCTTTATATCAATTCTTCAGATTAAAGGCTTAGAAAGCGATGTAGAGAAATCTCAGAATCAACAAAGAAGCAATGACCAGTTGGACGCTTTAAAACAACGGGTAAATACAGTAAAAGTGTTTCTCTATGATGTAGTCTTACTGCTTCCCCCAAATTTCGGTACTTGTATTGGTCAAAAATGGTCAAAAATAATATGTCTTCGCGCTTGTGGTGCACTCGTCTAAACTGCCAACGTGCTGCCTTGCGCATGCTCCAGGCAGCTGTAGCACTATGTCAGATTTTAAAATGTTTATTTTCTCTCAAGAATTCATACTTGGAAAAAGAACTTGAGAATGTCCGCGGTCAGCTGACGTCAGCAAAACGATCAAAAGAAAACCGGCCAACATGGCGGAGATCCAGTGACGCCAAAGTTGAGGTACCTCTACTTATCCTTGTATATCAACGTTTATCCGTTGTGGTTGTGGCCAGTGAACTCTATGTAAACTGGAACGCTAACTCCTATGATGAAGGCTTATGATTTGCTGAAGCCAAAATAGTTTTTCTGAGTTTTGAGCTGAAATACTTGATCGATATTTCGGTTTCAAAACATCCCATCCGTCCTTACCTCCCGACAAGCTAACATTAGCGAACTTAAGACGACAAAAACACACCCTAAATTCCCAGTGTTGACAGCAACACGGGTAAAAAATATGGATTCTTTTTCTCAACAAAGAAGGATACAGGTGAAGAATAAATTTAAACTGGTGACAAATCCAAACGAAAAGCATTAGTAACTGTCTTTTTGTCACGTCCGCGTACTAGATTTAGCTCATCTTAAGTTCGCTATTGCATCGAGAACTGGACTTGTCTCATGCTAGCCGCTAGAGTTTACGTTTAGGCTAGATTTCGGCTGCACCCAACGCTGTCGTATAGGGTAAGATCGGGTGACTTCCTAGACCGCTACGGCGTACGCACAACCACTTACTGTACTCGAATAATTCTGAAAGTCTATGCAGGAAAGATCCCGATATGCTGAGAAAGAATTTCGTCAGAAAGAAGCGAGATATGAAAGTCAACTGGCTGATTTGCAAGAAGAGAGAGACCAATTACAGGTACTGCTTGTCTCAATGACTTATGCACCTTTTTTTTTAAAGTGGGACTAGCGCCAAATACGATTTTTTATATGTGTAATATTTGGGTCGTTCGAAGAAGAAATGTAATATATGTTTATAATAAAAAATCCCATCTTGATCAACTTTTTCACTGTCAAAGTTTCCGGATACGATGTCATTAGAGGAATTGCAAATTAGTTTTCCTTTGTTTTTTGTACCAAAAATTCACCTAATGACGGCATATTTGGAACTTTGACAGTGAAAACGCTGATCAAGATGAGGTTTATTACTATAAAGATATATTACATTTCTTCTCAGAATAACCCAATTATTACACATACCAGAAATCATATTTGGGGTTAGTCGCGCTTTAACTTTGTGAGCCCTTTGCAGTCGTACTCTGTTTTGCTTCATTACTGGCGCCATCTTGTGCTTATGCTTGAGTCGTTGTGAGGACACATTTCAGCGTCCATTGTTAATGTGATGATTTTTCACCTCTGTAGTCCGAACTATTGATCAAAGATGAAGAATGTGCCCAAATCTCACTTTGCCTGGACGAGGCATTGCAGAATACCAATGACTTAAAACTACAGGTACGAATTAGTCCACCGGATGAAATTTTTGTTTTATAAAAATAAAATAAAAACAGAAAAAGTAAAAAGGTCGCGGGTTCGACTCCCGCCGCGGTCAGGCAATTTTTTAGCTTGTTCCACTTGTCTTATTTTGTTAAACTAGATAAAAACCTTGGAAGAAGCACTCGAGGAGAAAACTATTGTTGGTGGGATTCGAGTGAAGGTATGAAGGATTTTCTCTGTGTGTGTATTCTTTCTCAGGGTGTCCACGGGCCTTGAAAATCCTGAAAGTCCATGAATTGGAGAAAAAAATTCCAGCACTGAAAAGTCCTTGAAAATCAGTAGAAGTCCTGGAATTAATTTCCTTAACCTCCAGCTGTGCCAACATTAGTGATTTTGATTAAAGGGATACGGCAATAAAAATTAGCTTTGTCTTATTCAAAGAAGTTTTAAAGTTATAAAATTCAGGTGTAAAATTCAGGTATAAAATTAGTGAATTATTTACGGCAAATCCGTGCCATTTTCAAATATTTTTCCCAGTTCTAGGTCCTTGAATTTACTGAAAAAGGACCTTGAAATTCCTGGAAAAGTTCTCGAATTTCACCTTCACCAAAGGGTGGACACCCTGCTTCCTGCATTGACAGTTGGCACTAGCAGAGACTGCTTGTTTATCTTTAAGTTATAATTTTGTTTAAATGAATAGACCGTAGAAGGTCCAGCTATGACGGGAAATGTGGAAATCTTGGAAGCACTTCGTCAAGAACTAGAGCAGAGCAGGGTGAGTAGTACTGTACATGTAAAACGTTTCTGGAGAGGCTTGGATCCAGAGGCGGGCACTAGGGGGGGGGGGGGTGGCAGGGGGAGACAACCACACCCCCAATCATTTCTGAAAGCCTTTGAATGTTAGTTGTGTAACAAAGTTATGACAATAATTGTTCAAACCATGAAAGCATTGCTAGGCTATATATTACGCTATATAATGCATGGAATTTAAGGCAAAAAAGTTTAAAGAACTAAAATTTGACACTACAAAACTTTGGTGGTCATGTATTGGCAACCGAATGTTGGATCTTCAGATGGTAGCGAAGAAAATACCCATGGTACCATAGTGCAACGTGGTGCCCACCCCATTTTGTCCCCACCCCATGCTGTAAAATAAATGTACTTTATACTAAACTTAATGTTCTTTTCAGGAACATAATAAACATATAAATGACGAGTTGCATGAAAGGTAGGTACTTAACTTAATGTATAAAGGCGCTCGGCACTAGAGAAAATTATTTTCTTCCTGGGAGAACTACGGAGAAAATTTCCTGCAGACCAACTTAGTATCATTGCGTTAAATCTCTGCCTGAACAAAGAGTGTCTTAGTTGGGAAAATGCTGGGAAAGATGTCTGTCTACCATCAGTTGTTGGACCCATAGTGAGATATCCGTGTTAGGATTCCCAATTTTTCAACTTGCAAATCTTCAACCTATAACAAATTTCCTGCGGCTGTTTAGCTATTTTTTCCCCGCCCCTGAAGGCGCTGTTTCCCCAGAACTGAAACACGTGTTTTTTTTTAATTTGCAGAGATGATACCATTAACAGTTTACGGGTTGAAGTGAGACAGAAAGATGACGAGTTTCGCCGTTGCAAAACCAAGGTTAGTATAAAATATAAAATTACCATGAAATAAATGACAAATGAATTGAAATTGCATTACTTTCTTACAGAGATGTAACTTAACACTTGCCCGGGGCAAGTGAATATCATGACGGGCAAGTAAACATTTCATCTTGCTTGCCTGACTGGGCAAGTTCCCTTGCCACAAAAAACTGGGGCCGGTTGTATAAAAAAGTGATTAAAGTTAACTATAGTTAGTGGAAACGTCATCCAATAAGAAGCGCGTATTTGAGAGTTAATCACTATTTAAGAGTTTTATACAACCAGCCCCTGGTCATCTTTAGGTTTATATTTTCATTGTCGGATAAATTTTTTATAGTGCATGTACATGATTTAAAATCTTGTTTTTTTGTTGTTGGCCAAAGCTAGATCTGAGGTAGAGTATAACATAGCCATATAGAGAAGTGGGAGAACGGGTCGACATGTTGTCCCCTTAATATATACCCCCTTCCTAGGTACCCCAGTGGCCATTGTCTGATATAGCAAGTAAATTTTATTCAGGGCAACTAATTTTCATGACCAACTTGCTCCTCCGAGGGTAAATGGTCAGAAAAGTGAAGTTACACAACTGATTTCTTTAAATTAATGTTATCTTTAGTTGGCCCAGTTTGAGGAAAACAATAAACTCGCTGACAGAAAACGAATGATTGACATAACATCAAGCAGGGACGATTTTCATCACAATAAAGGTAAATAGTCATTACGTCATAACAAACGAAATATTCATCAATGAAAGTAAACTAAAACTAAACTACTTTATTTATAATAGAGCTTTATCATGCAGTATTAAACTGCTCTCCCTAGAGATCTCATATAAGCCATCTCTAATAGTTTCAGTGTTAAAATTTTTGTCTAGACTTGTCTAGATCAAAATTTTGTTCGTTAGGGAATAGGTCCACTGAGATTTCATCCATCTATTCTGATTCACAGTGTATAATGGCTGGGTATTACTGATTAAAAACAGGGAATGATAGCGCCAGAATAGTTAACCTCCGTGAGCCAAACACCACTGGGTTCCTTCGAGTATACCAGAGTTTCCTTCTGCATGTACTATCACGGCTTGAAAGAGCATCACAAAATTAGTAACATTCCGAAGTTTCGTTGCGTAATGTTGTAAAATGCGGATAATATAGCTCTACGAATTTTGCCGTTTTTTCAGTCATTTTGTATTACGCACGGGAAATTGATACTTTTTTTCAGAAAGCGGTATCAATTTCCCGTGGGTAATACAAAATGACTGAAAAACGGCAAACTTCGCAGTGCTGTATTATCCGCATTTTACAACATGTGATACTCTTTGAAGCTGTGGTGAAATGTTTGTCTAGACTTGTCTAGATCAAAATTTTGTTCATTAGGGAATAATGTTCGACTCCGCTTTGTCTTTCAGATTCCTTTAAACAAAGTTTCACGCACAGGAATCGATTAAAAGAATTGGAGGATCAACTCAAATTACGAGAGGTGAGCCAGGTTTTACATCGGTGGCCATGTTTTGGTAACGTGGCTACTCTTACTATTTGGCCATGAAGACTGTCCTGTTTTAAATTTATTTAAATTTTCAAAGGATGTGGAAAGAATTAGTCTGGATGAAAATGAAAGTTTACGAAGGCAAATCAATGACAAGGATCTGGTACGTTATGATATATGACGTTTTGTGCATGTTTGAGTACACACGTAAAAACGCGCAAGTTGTAATAGACCTGCAGCAGACTTGTAGCAATGCTGTTCCAACAACTTGTCAACAGGATGTGTTCGCACAGCTTGTTCCCAGCTTGTTGGCAAGTTGTCAACGGCTTGTTTACAACTTGCTACAAGGTTGTTGAGTTCAACAGACTTGTTACAAGTTGTTCCAACAACTTGTTATCGTCCTGCAATTCAACAATTTGTCAACAAGTTGTGAGTAACAAGCTTGTAGCAACTTGATAAAATAATAGCATTGTTACAACTTGTTGACAAGCTTGCTACAAGCCTGTTGCGAACACATCTTGTTGACAAGTTGTGAGTGACAACCTTGTAGCAACTTGATAAAATAACAGCATTGTTACAACTTGTTGACAAGCTTGCTACAAGCCTGTTGCGAACACATCTTGTTGACAAGTTGGGAGATTTTTACGTGTATAGTTCAGGGTCAGTCTTAAGCCTGGTTTCCATACGGTCGTAAAGATTGAGTCACGATCTTTCTCATCAGCCGAAATACAACATTTTAGAACTGAAAATACGACAATAATATGTGATTATAACTAGAGATTGAATAATGATTTATATGAAAATTGGATACTGAGAAATGAGTAAAAGTTTGTCTTGCTTTGCTTTGCCGGGCAGAGTTGTTATGTGTAACAACTTCTTTGCTTGATTTTGTGTCTGCACTGTATTTTTCAGAGAATAAAAACGCTTCAACAGAAATTGGTTGATCTTAAGAAAGCTTTTCAACGTGAATTGGTAAGTCCTTGCTTAAAGCCTTTTCTCTGCTCACTGCCAGCCACACCACAGAGGAAGTACATACAGAGATCTCACTTCAGGTTAATTTCGCGTAAGGGATTTTTTCAGTCCGCCATGTTCTTAGCAAGTGCCCTAAAGAGAGGCAGTCACCCCCCCCCCCCCTGAAAACATATTGAAAATTTAATATTCCAGGGGGGCGAATGCCTCTCTTTAGGGCACTTGCTAAGAACATGGCCGCCAGCTATTTCGGTAAAAAAGCGCCTTACGGTTTTGTAATGGAAGTTACACTTCTGTATGTCTTTATTCTGTGGCCACACTGAGCTTCGTATATATCTGAGAACTCGAGTCCAAAAAGTGAAGCCAAGATGGAGCTATTGCACGTCAGTTCCAGTCCCTTTCTATGTTTTTGTCTGCGCGGTCGGACACGAAGCTGCAACACAGAGTACTTACATACAGAGGTCTCACTTCAGGTTAATTTAGCGTAAGGGTTTTTTTTCATGCAGTCTGCCATGTTCTTAGCAAGTGCCCAAAAGAGAGGCCGTCACCCCCCTGAAAACATAGTGAAATTTAATGTTCCAGGGGGTTGACTGCCTCTCTTTAGAGCACTTGCTAAGAAAATGGCCGCCAGCTATCTTGGTAAATTACCTGCAGAAGTGAGACCTCTGTATGTACTGTAAGTACTCTGTGGCTGCAAGGAGTGTGCCAAAATTTCGTGCTTTGACTTCTGAAACTGTTTCGACCTTCATAGCTATTGGACGTCAATTCCAATATCCATGACTTCACTTTTCATAGGCAGAATGCCTACAGTTTTTGCTCCAGATCAGTGAGCTCTATATATATATCTGGAGCACGAAGTTCAGTCATTCGGTCAATGAGAAAAGTGAAGCCAAATGGTGACCATTGACGTCCAATAGCTCTGAAGGTCGTAAACAGTTTTTATACCATTTTTCCAAGGCAATTCCAGTTTTTTTCTAATGGACCGCATCACTAATCAAGTTTTCAGTTCATAAAATCACAATATTATTCTTTAAGTCGAAGTCAAAATACGACATTTCAACACACTCCTTGCCAAGATGGCGGAAATTGAAGGAGCTATTGGACGTCAGTTCCAGTCCCTTTCTATTGTTTTGGCCTGCGCGGTTAACACGAAACTGGCTTCACTTTGAGCAACCAAGTTCCTACTCCAGATATATATGGAGCTCACTGCTCCAGATATATATATAGAGAGAGCTCAACGATCAGCCCAAAACTACATTTATATTAGATATTTTGGATAGCGTACCATTCTAAACTGTTAGTGTCATCATTTAAAAAGGTCAACACCCTCTTAATAAGATCGCTCTAATGATGATTTTACCATGGAGCTTCTGCCAGAACAAGCTTTTATGTCATGGTAACCATTCATGCCGCATCTTAATACTTTTTTCCAGAAATCGTCTTCAGTGGAATGTCTTGAGGGTACAACAGAGGTCTACAGCAACAATGTCCAGACAGGATTGTTGGTTTCTTCCTCGACACAAACAGATAATGAAGATTTCGAGTATTTAGATATGAACTTCAAGTATCCTTTATTATACACATTGATGTTTGAATAGTTTTCTCTGTTCTAACCAGTGGGTTCCAACAATATGCAGATATTTCTATCTTCTTCGCATGAGAGAAGAGAGCTTCCAGTTTGACTCTACCAAACATCGCAGATTTTCTCTGGTTCTCCAGTTTCCTCATGCATGTATAGTGACACAGGAAGAAGAAGATTTTATTACCAAAGACAATAATAGTAAGGAAAGAATACAAAATAAATATAACAGATTAGGTAACATGCAGCAGCCAACTAAAGTAGTCGCAGAGGACTAGCCTAGTTAGTTGGCTGGCTAGGATATAGTAATCATAGATATCTTATATACACTAGATAGTGCATCTGATTATTCTGTAATTCAAAAATTGAAGCTGTGATTGCAGTCTCAGGTCGTTCCCATGAAATGAGAAGATTCGCATGTTTTCTATTTCTTAAACAGGGAACTTAAACATTAAGTTAACCCTATTCCAAATACGTTTTTAAACTTTTTAAACGTTGGGAAAGACCAACATGGCCGCCATCTATTCAAATGGGGGTAACCGCTGGAATATTCTTGGCTTCAATTTTACTAAAAGAGATGCGCTATCTAGTGTATATAAGATATCTATGATAGTAATACTGTAAATTGAATAAATGACTGATATAAAGAGGTCGAACTAAGATACAATATAAATTAAACAAAAAAGAAAGAAAGATTATAGCATATTTAAAGTTCTTATATATGCATAAATCTGAACCACAGTGCAAGTCAGCCTATGCCTAGGCCCTTTACTCGACTGGCTGTGGCAGTTCTGGTAAATTTTGGGCTAACATTTGGTAACATACAAATGAAGGCAGCCTGCGGTTCCAGTTTTTTCATGTGAAAAGGTGTTGAAACTAATTACAAATAGAAGGAAGAGTGCAAGTAGTGAGTGGCCTTTACAGGACTCCTAAATTTAGAACAGATAGATCTATCCATTGCACTCCTTAACACTCAATTCACTAGATATCTCAAGCACGTTATCATAAAATATATGTGTAGCACGAATGAAAAGGTAAGATTAAGCTTAGAGTTGAGGGTTAGTTATGGATTCTAATAACAACACAATAGCCAATGCCTTCTTATTGTTTATGCTGTTTTATCGCCATTGGGCGATGAGCGATATAGGACTTAAACATTGTAGTATGTTGTTGCATTTTAACGTAGATTTATGATATAAAAGTTTCAAAAATAGCAAAATGAAACCCCTTCTAAAAATATCATTTAATGTTCAAGATCCATGCATAGAATATTCCAATTTACACTGCATATTAAATCAAGGCGCAGAAATATTGTTATCGTGCTAGTAATTGGGCTAGTGTGTGGATTAGCTTTTTTAACCAATCTGGGCCTAGTATTGCAGTGAGATCTGCTTATTAAATCAAAGCGCAAAAATATTGTTATCGTGTGAGTAAGTGAACTAGTGTGTGGGTTAGCTTTTTTAACCAATCTGGGCCTAGTAGTGGAGTGAGATATTTGCAATTAATGCAGTAATGTTTTGCTTATTTTCTCCAGTCCAGACAAATGTTACCAATACTTGGTCATCTACTACGTTTAACACCTAAAGAACTAGATCTCATTACAGATACTTTCGAGTGGAAATTACCGGTTGATTAACTTTATAAATAAAACTAAATAAACTCGTTAACATTCATTTTATATTTTTATAAAAAATAAACTTTTAAATGATTTAGGCTAGAAAAAATAAAATGTGCAAAATGCAATAATAAAATAATATAATGAAATAAATAAATTTTTCTAAACGAAGTTTAATTGAATTTAATATACTGTAGTATTAAACTTTGCCTAAGCAATATATAAGTAGCTGAATTCATATTAGAAGACGCATTTCCGTCTAGGACGGAAAACTCGTCTAAGAGGAGAAACTCGTCCAGATGGGAAACTCGTCTTAAATTTATATCAGACGAATAAATCAAAACGGGTTTCAGCTCGTAACGTTGAAAAGAGATTCGGATGGAGGGTCTCCTATTTTTCGGATTTAATTTTATCCCTCCGATGGTTTTCGTCATATTAGACGGAAATCCGTCCCACGAGCTTCCGTCTTCTAGCTTCGAGCTTCCGTCCACGCAAGCCATAGAACAACGCATTGCGCCTGGGTACGAGGCAAGCCTTCTAACATGAATTCAGTTCATTTTACTTATACCCTTTAAATCAATTAAAAACAAATTGACATTCGGTAAATTTGCTTCCTAAAATTTCCACGAATGTGTTTGTTAGAACTTTCAAGGTTAGCATGCGCATTAAGGGACTGACTTTCTTTATATACGATTCAAAAATTCATTAATAATTCATTCATCTTTGTGTGATAGAGATTTCCTTTGATTTACATAAACTTTAACTTTGATTAATTTCTCGACTTACACAACGTATTTTTTGAAAATTACTTCGCCAATGAACTTACTAGACCGATCGTTTTTGAAGCAATTTAAATTTTAAAACATTCGCAGTGCGTGTTTTATCAGACCTAAAGATACTCTGCTTCGCCTCGTATCTTTATATCCGATAAAACACTGCTGCGCATGTTTTAAATAGTACATCAACGAATCTATTACCAAGTACTTATCGTACATTTTCGAGCATAGAACAGCTGCAAACCTTTTCGTACAGAATATTTTCCGCTCAGTTTTAATTTTGCGCAAATCAATATTACCGCACGAATTTAAATACACCGTCAAGTACAGGTATATCTAACTGTCATCTTAGAATATTTACTGAACACAATCCCAAAATAATTTATCATTACCGTTTTATTGCAGAAAAAATTAACATAATGATTTTTCATAAAACTGGATTTACAACAAGTTACAATGGGGTGTCTTTCACATAATCAATATATATTAAGCGTATGGCAATTTTGTGGAAAAGTAGGCTTTTGCCGAGTATACGGAAAGCTGATTTCAACGAATTTTAAAGTGCCTTGGTATATGTTGTAATATTTGGACCATTTTAAAGGCTGCTGGTATACACTATATATCAATGTTTCTGTGATCAAAGTAGGAATTTTGCATGGGTAAATTGTAAGTTTTGAAGGATTTGTAAGAAATGTTTGAGGGAAGTGACTTAATGTTAAACATCGAGTAAGTTCCCTCAAACATTTCTCACAAATCTTTCAAAACTTGGAATTTACCCATGCAAAATTCCTACTGTGATCACAGAAACTTTGATAGTATAAACCAGCTTAAGGAGAAATGTAATATCTTTATAGGAAAAAACCTCATCTTGATCAACTTTTTCACTGTCAAGGTTATCGAAGATGTCATCAGATGGATTGCAAATTAGTTTTCCTTTGTTTTTCGCTTCAAAAATTCATCTAATGACATCATATGCGGAAACGTTGGCAGTGAAAAAGCTGACCAAGATGAGGTTTTTTACTGTAATATTATGAAGATATATTACATTTCTAGAATACTCAAATATTAGGCGTGGTTTACACTGTCAAAGTTTCTGTCATCACAGTAGGAATTTCACATCGGTAAATTCCACGTTTTGAAGGATTTGTAAGAAATGTTTTGGGGGGAACTGACTTCGTGTTTAATACTGAGTAAGTTTCCTCAAACATTTCTTACAAATCCTTCAAAACTTAGAATTTTCCCATGCAAAATTCCTACTGTGATCACAGAAACTTTGATAGTGTAAACCATGCTTAAATGTAATATTTTTGCGGCTACTGTTGCGTTGCCTACAGGAACTTGGCTAGTACTAAATTTGTCAGCTAGATTGCTACATAAAACGATATTGTCTAAACGCTTAATTTACACACAAGTAAATAAAAATAGTTTTTAGTCTACAGCGGCAGGGTGTATGGACGTCCATAATGCATGTGTTGATGTAGTCTGTGGTGTTGGATTTCTCTAGCGTCCTTGGCTCATGTTGCGCCAAATGCTGGTAAAATTGTTCATTAGCTTCGTTATTCTTACTGTACAGTGCTTAATATGGCAGTATCACTCGTCAGCTGCGTCTTCGTTGGTGGGGTCTGGGTCCTCGGCCTCTGCCTCCTCTACCTCCTACAAAAGAAACTTCATTAATATGCAGTATTCCTTGTGGCACACACCTGGGGAGTGTGAAGTCTGCCACTGCGTTCCTCTAACCAGTCTTAGATGAAGGTGAATGTCTACAGTTGCACCATCCAGTGATATATTGAGTACAGTATACTGTACCTGTTCATCATCACCTTCTTCTTCATCTTCTTCAATATACTCTACATCACCCTCATCATCCCCACCTTCCTGTCCCTCTATATCCTCATCTTCACCCTCCTCGTCATCAAAGTCCCCCTCATCATCATCTTCCTCAATAACGACGACTTCATCATCGTCTCCTTCATCATCGTCATCTTCATCAACCTCGACTACATCTTCATCACCCTGGAATGATCAATGAAAGAGTTAGTAAGCATCTGCTGGTCAGCATTGACCCTGGAAAACTCTGATCTTTCTTTTTAAATGGTGACGTGTACATATCTACCAATCATTAGTTACATAATAGCATAGTTGCCCGGGTTTCTTTTGTTTCAACAGGGTCGATTACTAACTAATCGCCCGCTGTAGCGGGCGATTAGTTCTAATCGCCCGCTAGAGCGGGCGATTAGAACTAATCGCCCGTTACCAAGGGTCACACCTTTGACTCCCTGACGACTACGCATTAGGCAAGTGCCTCACGCACATAATCGTGCAAGGAACAGCAACAGTTAGCTCAGAGCCGTCAATAGTCTATCATCCGATCCCTGAGTTGCCGCATCATTTAAATTACGCACGTGCAGTCTCCAAATTTATACTAATATATTCAGCGTGTTTGTTGTGGTACGTTAAATGATAGATTGCGCATGCGTAACCGATTAAAGCGTAAAAAGTGCGCATGTGCAACAAGCTTTTACATCCCACAAGCAATGAAGCAAATGTTTTAGCTTAAATACGCTGATTCCAAGTAGGGCATGTTTTTCCATTTTTAAATGGGAGCGAAACTATGCTATTACAAACTAATAGCATGGCTTTTCGGGAGATTAGTGATTAAATGACCCCTTACCCTCGGCAGGTTTGCGGAATTCCCTCGGGCTTCGCCCTCGGGAATTCCGCAAACCTGCCTCGGGTTACGGGGCCATTTAATCACTAATCTCCCTCAAGCCATGCTCTTACTTATAATAACATGACATGAAAAGGGTAGGTATTATTTTCTATAATCAAGACCGACCTCTTCATCGTCATCTTCCCCATCATCGTCTTGTCCTGCGAATGTCTACACGAACAATAAACATCTATGTTTATCTCGATATAATGATTTTATAAAGGCCCCACTTCACTCGGGGAAAATTTTCCACAGAAAAAAAATTTTGTAAAATGTGATTGGCCAACACAAATTTTCCGTCGGAAAAACAATTTTGAAGCTGAAAATTTCCAACTTTTAACAATGATATTTTCAGTGGAAATGGGCCAGGATTCACAATAGAATTTCGAAGCTTTTTGAAATAAGTGGGCAGCTATGTGGTAGGATCCCAGTCTGGGGGGGGATCCAAATCTGGAAGGGGGTGTCCTTCTCTGTAAAGATTCTGAAATTTAAACTGTCTGAAATGGTTACAGTAGGTTCTGGAGGTGTTTTTTTTTTCATTTTATCCAACTATTTAACTTGGACTATTGTGTAGAATTTATGTTAGAAAACCAGGAAAGTGTTCAATAGTAACATGCAATCTTGCAGTGAATTTAATACAAACAATTATTACCAAATAGAATTGTAGGGGATTAGGCCATATTTCGTCTTTGATTGTTTCTCCTAACTCGTCCGTTATTCCATCAGATTCGTCTGAAAACCAGCTGAAGAAACTCTGTGCTTCTTGGTGGGCACGTTTGGACCCTGCGGCACTTTCTTGGTATCGTTTTGTTAGATCCTGTTGGATGACATAATCATTGACAGATTACTCAACATTAATCGGTCAGTAAAGTCAACCATGGTGAGTAGGTGCTATCAACATAGGAAATTACGGCAATATTTTGGATAAATAGCAGACAGCCTTACTAGTGAGCCAAGTAAAGGTGGGATTTCTTGGATTTAAATTTGTCAGAAAATATTTGGGGTTAACCCATTGAGTGGCAGCACCCTACCCTAAAAATTGCAATTCCACTTAACGACACCAAGATGGCAATTAATATACTGCAGTGATTATACCCAAAAAGAAAATTGGCATCTTCTAGTCAAAGGCAGGATAATGTGATGGAATTAAATGTTATATTTTACTTGTGACACTAGTATCACAAAGTAAACCAATGCCAAAAATAACAAACTAAACCCTCCCCTCCATTTTAATTCAGCCTCAATTTTAAACATCAAATATATAGCCACTGTTTATTATGAACATTATTCCATGTATGGTTATTCCCCAAATTGATTCAACCAACCATTCCTTCTTTCCATTTTATCGTCGTTGATTTTGCTATTTGATCACCACTATCGTTTAACGAGAATTCCTTGCTAATCAGATCATTCTCAAAGAAAGGATTGTCTGTAAAATGCTAGATAAAAAAAATAAAAAAACGTGAAATATGAAAATCTCAAATGCGGAAATAAAGTGTAGGTTGTATTCTACATTAAGCTGTCGTGGTTCCTCTGAGCTACCGGATCTACAGTATGTATCCTGACAGTCCTCAAAATTAGCATAAATCCTTGTCGATATTTTAGAGTTCAGCAGCGGCAATTTCGATGGCAATGTTTTTTCTTTAAAAAGATAAATGGCATTTTTTGCTTCTCAATACTTAAAAAAATAGAAGATATACAGTATACACTTGTTCATTGAAGCCAGATCGAAGCACATGGAAGAAACTCCTCACTTGTGGCCAGCAAAGTGTCTATGTTTGTCTGAAGTTACATGAAGTATCAACAGAAATTATTTACGGACTCTTCGAAATAAAGCCGGAAAATAAAAAAGTCATCGATAATTTCATTTTCGGCAGCATTATCGGTGGCAATTGCTGTCACTAATTTTCGAGGACTGCCTTGATCGGAATTTCATAATCTCTTTGCTAAACTTACAAATTTTATCCTATATCCAGACTTTATATCTTCAAATTCCTCAACTTCTACCGACTTAAGATATTGCAATGCTTCTTCATCTTCTTCGTCAAGCACAGCACTGATTTGTTGATGGTTTAAAAACTTCTGGTGGTTAAGAAATTCTAGCTGTACAGTTGGACCACTCTAATACTAAAAGATCTGCAAATAGGTGCAGGTAAGAAGGCCCAGAGGGGGTTGAAGCAATCGCAGAACAACAGGCGAACCTAAGTACATGTTCGGACCTTGACACATCTGGGAAGAGTGTAGATTTACTTTAGAACTACTACAACCCCCCCTGTAAAGACCACTAGAATGGTTAATTACAGGGGGGTGATCACTAGAAATCATTATTGCAGCATTGTTAGAGCAGCAAGTTAGTAACATCTGAGCATTCATAACATTACACCCCTCCCCCCTGGTAAAAACACAAAATCCTCAATCTCCAGGGGGGGATGGAAAATATGTTTTTCCACAATAAAATCTTCAAATACACAAAAATATCGTAATTTTTCAAGGATACAGCAGTGACCCAGAAATGTGGAATCTTTGAGATGAGGTCTGTCCTCCGTTCAAAATGCGGTTTCCTCAACAAGTTAAATTTCTGCTCGACTTTGAGTATCTCTTCCGAAGCTTTCTCGTTCAAAGTGTCTATTTCATTTTGGACACCGTCTATCTCCTCGACTATTTCATGTTCGTCTCCGCCGTTTGCTTCTCCTTCCACCTTCCTCGCTTTCCTAGGACTTGCCGCTGTAGCCATTGTGAAAATATAACTAAATTAAAACGGCGTTCCTTCGAACAAAAAGACAACAACTCTCTCACTCGTGGTCTAATCAAAAGCTTGCTTAGCAACCTCGCAGCCTTGCAAATGCGCGCCAAGTCCGGTGACCCAGTCTTATATCATGTCCGGGGGGTGGGAGGGTTTTCATGATTTTTTTGCATACAAAACTAATATTTTTCTTTCAAAATGAAATTATAAATTACATAAATACATATCATTTAAAGTTCCTTGTACTTCCCTTCAAGTATTTTAATTTTATTTTAATGAATTTTAGCATTTTTATCGACTTTATGCTGGTCCCATTTCCATGATATATTTTTGTATTTTGTGTGAGCTGTTTAGGTATTTAAGGGATTTCCTAGGTAATTCATTATATTTTCTTTTAGTAGTATTATTTTGAAATACGTACAAGCCAAAAAAATAAAATTTTCTTTGAATTTAACGAAGAAAACTGCAAATTTCAAGATATGCCGGGGGGAGTATGCCTCATCGAAAGCGCTCGGCCCCAGTCCGAGTTGTCTGACGCTTACCACGTGCAATAATTCTGATGCAAGTTGAATTATGCAACCGTACAATCTACCGTATAGTACAATATAAAGTGTAAAATTTCCTCCTTTTTTTTTTGTGATTTAAAGCCAACATGTTACGGCCGCTTGTAGGAAGGGTATTTCCGCGTCGTTGTGTGTATTTTACTGGTCAATCTTTGCCACGGATGATGTGCACTGCTGAGAAAAGCAGTAATGACTCGACGAAAAGCGAACAGACCGTAAACACTGAAGGAGAATTGTCTGAATTAGATCAGAAAATTAAACTTGTAGAAGAAAAAGATGGCATAATTAATGATCTTGAGGTAGTATATTCATTTTGGCTCCATGAGAAAATGTGGCATTCTTTTATTTACATAGGCACAGAGTAGATACATATACAGAGTTATATAACTAGTGTACCCACTTTTTTACCCGCATGCTTGGCAAGTTACTAGATGCATGCATGCATCCCATTGGATGACAGCTCGTTTTAACTGCTCGCAAAACTTGCGAGCACACGCAGTTGAACATTTTTTTCCCGGTAGCCTGAAAAAAGTGGGTACATGAAAACATAAGTTTCCGCAGTGTTTATGATGGCCAGTTATACCTCTGTAGATCTATGTATCTACTCTGTGATGTAGGTGATAGATTTGGTTATAGAAAATTTCTCTACTGATAGCCTACAAATACAACTGCCTGATATTAGGCATTCAGGCAACGGTCTGATTTTTCAAGGCCGACAAATGTCAGTCAGGTGGCTGTAGTCACAGGCTACTAGTAATGGAGAGTTTAAGCTTTGCATTCAGTGACAAACATCAGGCAAAGAAAAGTAAATGTGCTTGTTTTAAAACTAGAATGTGTAAGTTCTATTCCTGTGTCATATGAAAGAAAATATGACACACAGAAATCAAACAAAAATTATGCCAGAAAATTCAGCCTTGCCGTTTGCCGTACTTTTTTACACAAAGCTTAAGCTCTCTATTATTGATAAGCAAGCAATATTTTTGACAACACAGATATCACACATACATAATGGTAATTGAACTGAGTGGAGTGCAATTTGGATTGAAATCAAACGCGTGATTACAAAATTGCACGACCGCTAAGCAGGAGTGCGATTTGTAATCACAAGTTTGATTTCAGTCCAAAATTGCACGACACGAAGTTCAATTTCCACTTTATTATATTCATTTTGAAATCTTAAATATTTTTGTAAACCGGAAATGTTTTTGTTTGCAAAAGACACACCTCCGGCACCTCCCTGAGTGCTGTAGCATAGCAACAGTAAGCGAACAAGATGAAAAGTTTTGTCAGTTTTGTTTATAAATACGTTCAAATACTGCAAAAAATGCCAAAAATCTTAAAGAAATGAAGACATTTATAAAGAATAAGAGACAACACAAGTAAGTTTAAACATATTGTAGGTCTTACGAGTGATTGAAAGAGTTTTGGTGCAGTTTTGTGCGTTTAAAATTGGAAATACGATAGGCGAATTTACCTTCTTTTTTTCCCGGAGTCCTGTCTGTCCTGACCATAGATATCTTATATACACTAGATAGCGCATCTAATTATTCTGCAATTCAAAAATTGAAGCCGTGATTGCAGTCTCAGGTCGTTCCCATGAAATGAGAATATTCGTTTGTTTTCTATTTCTTAAATAGGGACTTAAACATTAAGTTAACCCTATTCCAAATACGTTCTTAAACTATTCAAATAATGAAAGTTATTGTTGTTTTTAAGCGTTTATTAGCAAGTGGGAACGACCAACATGGCCGCCATCTATTCAAATGGGGGTAACCGCTGGAATATTCTTGGCTTCAATTTTACTAACAGAGATGCGCTATCTAGTGTATATAAGATATCTATGGTCCTGACACTTTAAATTTGCTTTTGTTGGCATTTTTGCCAGTTACTATTTGTGAAATTTCAAAAGAATTAAAATTTGCAATTCTTTGATAGTTTACTGTAGTTATCCATATTTTTTTTGTTTTTATGTGCAAAAAATTGCTTAGGCACTCAAGAGTATTAAATCGTGACATGTAAATTTTTTGTTTTTGCTCATTTGCCATATCACATTTTTCTTAAAATTCATTGGCTGTTTGAATCCTATGATTAAGTATGATTGGTTGGCTGAAGTCAGCACTCTAATGTGATTGGTTGAAAGAAGGTGCGATTTCAGCACGAATCGCACTGCTAGGAGTGCAATTCGTGCTGAAATCGCACACCTGTGAACCAATCAGATTGCAGAGGAAACACCATTGATTTCAAAGTGAATATAATAAATAATTTAACCATTGATTATGGTGTAAGCAGTCTGTGTTTGAAATCAGGAACGGCAGTCAATGCAGTTTCATGTTCGTGATTTCAAACGAGAACGGCTCTCGCCATCTACAAAGGCTTGATTCACTTCCAGTCAGCGTTTACTCTGTCTAATGCCAGACAATTTTACTTGTTGAATGGAAAGTGTTGATGTTGATGGATTAGTAAAAATATTTTTTCTAGGATAAATACAAACGAGCGTTGGCAGAAAGTGAAAACGTGAAAAACAGAATGAAAAAACAAGTTGAAGACACACGACTGTTTGGCATCCAGGGTTTTGCTAAGGACCTTTTAGAAGTGGCAGACGTTCTTGGAAAAGCCACAGAAAGTGTACCAGATGAAGAAATAGAAAATAATACACACTTAAAAAGCTTATACGAAGGACTTCGCTTGACAGACCAACAATTGCACAAAGTTTTTTCAAAAAATGGTCTGGAGAAATTGAGTCCTGTCGGTGAAAAATTTGACCCAAATTTTCATGAAGCACTTTTTGAACAAGATATCCCAGGCAAAGAGGGAACTGTGATTCTTGTCAATCAAGTTGGGTATACTTTAAATGCGAGAGTTTTAAGACCAGCTAAAGTTGGCGTGGCAAAAGCAAAAACTTAATTTAGTTTGTAATTGTGGAGGATTTGACTAAAGTTACTTTTTAATTGGCTAAATTGGTAGAGCCACGTTCCCAGATTTCAATCCAGCATAAAATAAATTGTCAGGTGGCTATAATCACAGGCAACTACTGTATGTTAATATGGATGCTTTTTCATAAATGATGAGAATATCTCATCCATTAGATTTGAATTAATTATCTTCTTAATTGACTCTGTAGGCACCAATATGCAGGTTTATGTCCAGTTTGAGTCCAACTTTGAATAGATGGTATCATATTCCCCCAATGACAGTTTTGAAAAATAGAGTTGAAACACACCTCAGTCAGGTTTTCCTTGTAGATTTGCTTGTAGTAGAAGCATTACTTCCTCATTTTAATTTTAGCTACAAAAATTTGAAACATGACAACAGACTAGTGTTATCAATTTAATGTATAATTAAATTGTTTGGGTAGTGTTGAAATCAGGCCATTCACCTCAAGCGGTGAATAATTGAGTCCATATTTACAAAGCGTAGGCAGCATGTGGGTGTGTTTGGGTCAAAGTGATTTTCAATCAAGGACTGTGACCACAAATACTGTCAATATTTAATACAAATCTAGATTTACATAGAATTTATATGCTTTTTGGACTTTTTAGATAGTTTTTGGCTAAGTATAAAATTATTGTAACCCATAGTGAGTGGCAGCACTCTCCCCTTGACGAGTAACATTGTCTGGTGTTAGACGGAGTAAAATAATATAGTAAAGTACCGGTCACTTACAGGTTAACATTATTTTGTGCAAAAAATAATAGCCCATGATTGGTTGATTTAAGTCATGTGCTTGTGTAATGACACCTTTACCTTTGTGGCTTTACTGGTATATTGTTTTGATGAAAGGAATCAGGAAATACGAAACGATTATCCGGTTGACTGAATTTTAAATAAATATGCAAATATGTGGTTTCAAGAGGCCCACAATTGCCCGATGAAATATTTCTTCTTGAATTTCACGCAGTGAAATACTCGTCACGAGTCGGTTGTAAAACAGTTCAACCTGAAGCTTTAAAAGGAGAACAAAATGTCCGTCTCGTATGTAAAACCGACACAAATGGAAGAGAACATCAGTTGTGCAAATATGTCGTGTGTTCACGGTAGCTGTGAGTCGGGCTCGTGTGTTTGCGAAGTAAGTAAAAACGTAGACTTCGTGTAACGTTTTGCGTCTAAAAATATATGCCCAGCTTCTTGTTGTACAGTACTAACAGTAGTTTCTAACTATTGATATTTGTTTTGAGGTTATATACGCCTAATATATTGGCCTAAATACTGCTTTGGGAAATTTAACCCGTGTCGAAATATACTAAGAATCGACACCATATTTTGGCGTTATTTGATACAAACTTGACGTCAGTGACATGGAGCATGAGAAATGTGGCGACAGAAATATATAAACAGAATGTTTTTTGAATTTTTAAAGTCTTGTTTTGAAGAGAATGGTAGCTTTGTATACCTGTTTCGTATTTAATTTAAACCCGTTCGGAAAACGTATTTATTAAAAATGGCTGTGGTCAATTAGTATTAATTTGTTTCAGAATTTTTATTCTAATTCTGTTTCAGAATTTTTATTCTCACAAATGTACATGTATTTTAAGACAAGGTTATTTTTCTGTTCTCTAGTTTAGGATTTTTGTCTATATGTCAATATTTCGCTTAAATGTACAAAGATATCTTTTTATGTAGGCTGACCTAATGTTATCAATATAGACTGTAAAATATTAACTACAGAAATTATAACTGCAGGAAAGATTTTACAGTGAAATAATATTGATTTGTGGTTCGAATTTGTTCATGTAAATATGCTGTACAATTTTGAATTTCCACCTGTCCTCATCTTGTGTGAACTTGGGTCACTTATTTGAGTTAACCTTGAATAGCCATTGTAAAGCCTCTTAGAGAGCCTGCAAGTTACTTTCATCCACTCGCAATGCTCGACAGTTGGTTTTAATCAGATGCAAGCCCTTGCAGCAAGCTTGCGGAATTTGTTTTTGTGATAAATGGAAAAGGCTCTCGAGTACCATAACAATGATAGGAGATAGCTGTGGTTTTGAGAGAGATGCAAATGGCTGCGAAATATAAACAGAAGTACATTGTTTCGAGCAAAGACCTTTATTAGGAAGTTAAGGCTGCTACTAATGTCCCAACGAAGGGTCGTCGTTCAAAACATTGAAGTTGTGTTTATATTTTTGAGGTAGATGTATTTACTTACACTGCAGCTGTTGGCTTATCTGAGTGAAGGCTCTTCATCTGAAGGCCCAGTTATGTGGCCATAGGTGTACAAGATGGGGGGGGGGGGCAAATGCTAGGAAAAATATCAGGCTTTTGGCCATCCACACTTGATAGAAGTTGTAGAGGGGTTTTATAGATGGAAATGGGTCGTTCCAGAAAAGATCCATACTCCCCCCACGGAGGAAATTTCTGGAGGGGGAGGGGAGAAAAAATTGTTTCTGATGATAGTAAATGTATTAGGACATCCGAAGGGGGTTGACTTCCTATTTCCTCTGTGGAGGTGGTATGGATGTTTTCTGGAATGACCCAATTTTGAGTGTGAATTTAATTTTTATGTATTTCTTAGATCTAATCAGGCCCTCTTGGCCCTGCGATTCCAGTGCAGGGCCGCAGGTTCAATTTCTGCCGACCTATAGTTACATTTTTTGCAACTGCTCCTGGAAAGTCTAATAAATATATAAAATTCACACTCAGAATTTCCATCTACAAAACCCTCTACCCATTTTGTAGTTAAATAATAGTTAAATATGCAGTTATAATTTGGGTAACTTTTGCACTGACTGTAGTTCACTTAAAATTTTTTATACAACTTGTCCCAGGCAGTTAATTGCTGTTGCATGTGCTCATTGTCAAATCTGTCGAACCGTTTCAGGTTAAATTTTCTGGCAATGCTTGTAAAGACCTCAACCTTGGCTATTACATTGGATTTGGAGTTGTTTTCTATCTAATATCTGCTATTGCATTTCTACAATTGGTAAGTTTATTATTATTAAGTTTAACATTTAAGAAAATCTGCAGTATATGCACATAAATGTACACACTATGTACCCATTCTTTCTATAAACTCTGGTTTCCTTCTGTAGTAATGCTGCACCAAAAAGGGATGGCCCTTACTGCATTGACCTTTAGAGAAAGACATTTCAAACTAATCTATAGAGCAATCCAGTTTAAATTAAGTTTCTAGTTTCATATCTTGTTAAGGATTTAACCCTTTAAGTGGCAATGCACCGTGATGTGCCCTACTTCATTATTTTACTCTGTCCAATGCCAGACTATTTTACATGTGCTGTCACTCAATGCGTTAATTATGTTTTACTATAGGTATTTTGCATCCGAGGTGAGCTTCAACGTATGGCGAGGCCTCGGATTTTGAAGGCATGTCATGTGACGATACAAAAACTCCTTTATATATATGTGATTGTTGCAGCTGGTAGCCGAGGAGTGTATTATACAACAGAGGTATGTTTCATGCCCCTCTCCAATGGGTGACTAGTTTTAATGCCAGAGGTAGTTCAGTACATTACTGCATAAATGCATCTTCATTTGGGGAAAAATTACAGGCAAATTTAACTCCATTATTATTCAAATTTCAGCTGACCTTACCACAACAATGGAGGGTTGATTTATTTGCTGTTTACTATCCATTTGTAATATGCTCCTTTACAGCTGTCATTTGTTTCTGGGCAGAGGTAAGAAAAAAATGGAAATTTAGTTTTGGAAATCCTCTCCATTTTTTATTTTTTTATTTTGTTCCTCCCCTTCCCCCCTCC